AGTACAGTATAAGATTTTTGCTTATTTTGCTTAGAACTTCTTTTTAAATGCCTCCATTATTTGCTACCAGTTCCCAGAGTGGTATTTTTAGAAATAGGCTATTAAATTCATGTATACTCTTTTGACATTTTGAGTTAAAAGCATATAAGTCTTTTTAGTGCCATATTTTGAAAGCATTTTTGAAATACTGCATTTTGCATATTTCAGCTGCCATTTCTTTAGGTATCTTCTGTTGGAGCCTCAGAATTAGGTTCCTAAGGATATCTAGGAAGTATTCATAAACAAGTATTCAGTTACCATCTGGTTTGCATCAGTGCTCTTCCTTTATCTCCACTCTGGTTATTCTGCCAATACTTAAGAAGAACCATTTGTAAGCCACTCAGAGTCACCATACAGTATGTGAGTTGGATGTGTTTAATAAATTAATAAAATCGTAGCTCTGCTGTTTGGTACCACTGATGTCTAACTTTGTAAATTTCCAGTGTATGCTTGTTTATAAAAGCAATTCCCTAGCTGAAGAAAGCCAGCTGCCATCTAGAAGCCCTTTAAAATAATTAAGTCTTTAACTGAATGTTACCCAGCACTGAGGTACCAGTATATTTGTTGTAAAGGTATGAATCATTTGGCAATACTTTTATAATGTAGTTAACCTTGAAACAAAATTGCTTTTGTTTTGCTGCACAAAAGGAGGATGAATCTTAATTTATTGATCTGTTTCATTTTCACACATCTGTCTGTGTATTAGGCTAAATTAGGCTAAAACTAAAATGCTAGTTATAGAAGAAAGTATTCTTCCTCCTTCACAGTTGGACCAAAAGGAAATAACTAATGGAAGAGAGAAATGCACCTTTATAAACCTGCTAGGTTCTTATGGGATTATCTGCCCCATGTGGGATTCAAAATAGGCATAAAATGAAATAGAAGAAAGTTTTATCTCCTGCCCATTGAGCTGTCATCTAGAAAATCACACCCACACAGTGGAAAAGCAGTCTTCCAGTAGAATAAGAAATCTTCACTTATGCAATTGTTTCAGACCGAGGCCCATAATTCTCTAACTCTACCTCACTCTCCCATTATGGAAAGCAATGAGTTGTTACTTTCCTGCCAATGTATGGGACACTTGATGTGAGGAAAAATAAAGGCAAAGAATCTTCCAGTCCTTTTTCTGAAATTGTCCTACATTAAGTCCACAAGCACTATATTTCTTGCTAGCCTTGTTGCTAAGGTACAGTAAACATTTTTAACATGCTTCCTCAAGTTCCTGAGTGAGAGGCAGGATGTAAATTTAATATAAAAAGAATGATTTCCTTCGGAGACAGTGTGCTTTATATCTGCATAATTTTCTACCAGCTTGTCAAAAGAGTAAATGCACATTAATATGGCCATTAGGAAGAACATTACATTTTATATATGAAATATTTAATATACAATTTCACAATAGAGTACTGTTGTTCATGCTCTAATCCATATATTTATTAAAAAGCTGCTTGAACTAGTTGGTAAACAGTGATTTATATTACTAAGAATTATTGGTATGGAGAATATCTAGAGTCTCTTTAACACCATAGGAAATCTTCATGTTTGTCACCTATCACTTCTTGCTTCAAATTTGACTTTTTTTTTTTAATACAAAGTTTTCTGGTACAGAATCCCACATCAGAATTTTCTGAATGTGAATTGATTTTGGTACAGAAATAATTTTAAATTTTTTATCTGTGCTAGGGATTCTGCTCTGAGTCATCATCGGAATCTAAAGCTTTTCATAAATAGTCTTTACATATGTTAGTAAAGGGCATAAAAATGATTAAATGTATGTTTGAAGAATATTATAGCAAAACTTTTATTTATATATGCTTTACTTTTCATTGAGATACCCAGGACTTTATTAGACTATGGAATTTGGTATACGTTTGCATGGCTAATCCTGCAGAGGTAAAATCTTCAAGATTATGATGAGATGAAATCGACAAGGTAGTTAATAAAGGATGATGTGTTCCTAATTAATCCATTGTGCCTCTAGTTGAAAATTAATTGTGTTATGCAAATGTCATGTTAATTAAGGCAGAAAATGAGAATACAATAAATCTTTTATAAAAAAGGTTTGTTATGTTGGCAACATTAGGTTGATAGGTTAGTGCTTTTCAGTCTATCGAAGTTTCAATTTTTCAGTGATGCCTTGATGATTTACTTCTTATTATAAAGTTAGGTTTTATAGCAGGCATTCAGAAATGCCATTCTCCCAGCAACATCCACCATCTGAATTCTATAAATATATCAGCATACAGATGATTGCTTTATACATTGTATTTTCAACTATATTCCCAGCCTGATCCTGAACCGTAATTTCACCACAGTGAGTCATGAAAATAGATTATATATTTGTGTTTATATCAAAATGGAATTTATAACTCCCAGCTTATTTGTTCAGTATAAGGTTGCCTGTAATTCTGAATTATTTCCATCTTCTCAAGTTTTTTTTTAACGTGGGTAATTGCTATTAGAGTCTTAATCATGTAATATGTGTTAATTAAGCCTTATACACGGTGGAACTTAAGACTACAGTTGAGTCTGGAATTTCCATCGCTAAACAATGCGGTCATAAAGCAAGGCATCACATGACTGCATTGCTTAATGACTGCAATTTTGACACTCCCAGCTGCTGCTTATCCAAGAATTGTGGGCCGTTAAGGAGAGGGAATCCCAGGGGGCTGCAATAATGGGAGTTGGGAAGGCCCTAGGAAACCTGGTGCAGACTGCACATGAGTTGAGGGGTGCTACAGTGCTGTGCAAAACCACAGCCCACCCAGCATCACTTATGACTGCAGGAGACTGCAACTTCCCTCACCTGCCATTCAGAAATGCCACTTCAAACCCTACATTGCAGCCAGCCATACTAATACCTCTGCCCAAAGCTCCAGTTGCCTCCACAGCCCTGAGTTCTGTAGGCTGTGCTACACTCAGCTGATCTTTGCTGTTTTTCTCCTGCTACCCACAAGGTAGCATGGGATACTGCAGCAGTTGTAACTTTGGGCACAATTTTTAAGTCTATATTTTCATCATAATTTTGAACAGTTGCTAAACAAACGGTCATAATTTGAGGGCTACCTATAATTCTTCCTCTGTTTGGTTATTTTGTGTGTGTGTGTGTGTGTGTGTGTGTCTCACCTCGTGGCGGCGGCACTAACAGCCCCGCCCAGCCGACCCACTTCTTCTGCAGCTGTTTGCACGCATCACCCCCAGTCGCCATTTTGCCATCAGGGGCCTTCCGGAAAGGCCTCTGTAGCTGAGAACCTTCAGGAAATGCCTCTGATGGCGAAATGGAGGCCGGGGGCGACGCCCGTGCACACAGTGGTGAACAGTCACAGAAGAAGTGGGCCGGTGAGGCAGGTGTTGGGGCATGGAAGGTCTGGCTGCAATGGTAAGCGGGAGTGGGGCGCGTGGGGTAGCTCCACCGCCCCAGCCCCACCCTAGCTTGATTTTTAGGCATGTGCCTTGCCCCAAAACTAGGTCTTATTTTTGGGGTAGAGCTTATATTAGGCCCACCCCCAAAAATCAAGCTAAGCCTTCTTTCCAGGGTAGGTCTTTTGGGGGAAACATAGTATGTGCATGTATTTATATATGTGTGGGTGTGTGTATGTGTATGTATATGGAAACTAATCAAGGAGAGAAGCAACCTAGAACTAAGGAGAAACTTCCTGACAGTTAGAACAATTAATCAGTGGAACAGCCTGCCTCCAGAAGCGGTGAATGCTCCAACACTGGAAGTTTTTAAGAAGAGACTGGACAGCCATTTGTCCAAAATGGTGTAGGGTTTCCTGCCTGAGCAGGGGGTTGGACTCGATGACCTCCAAGGTCCCTTCCAACTTTATTAATATTATTAATATTATTAAGTATATATGCATGTAAATTTTTGGATTGCTAACAAAGAGTTAAAGGGAGACTGGTATAGCTATTTCTTCTTCCCATATTTGGGCCAACAGGGTGCATCAAAAAAACACTCAAGACATATATGTGTGTATATATATATATATAGATATATACACACACACACAACACATATATATACATATACACACATACACAAACATATCTGCCCATATAGCACACAACTCAAGAGCAGTGTAGAATGTCAAATAACAACAGTAAATTCCACAAAAACCATATCATTGAAAGGATTTTTTTTTAAATAAAAAATATATAAACTGCTCAGAAAAAGCACATCAAACAAGCTACACCACTGCCAGACATAATGCCTTAAGAAAGAATCATATCTATGATGCCTCCGAAAAGTCAGATCTCAGGGGAATGTTGTTCCAAAGGACAGAAGCAATGACAGAAATGGAATGTCTCCTGGGTTCCACTAGATGAGGTTGCTGAAGCAGTGGGGCTTGAAGCATATCAGCCTTATCAGATCTTAAAAGTATCTGCTTCAACATCAGCAAAGTGGTTGCTCCCTGTGCATGGCATCCATTGACCTCCCAAACAATATTAATAAAGCAAAATAGTGGTGCTGATGACATTCTTTTTTTTAGGTTAAATGGCTAAAATTTCTGTTTATAAGAAGCCTAGGAAGATTTGAAAATTATTTAATCTGTGTTTTAAAATATCAATGTTTCAATTTTTATTTGTTTATTGACATCCACAGCGTTACATGAAACTACGTGATGGATGTCTGCTATCTAAAAGGTTTCTTCACCCCTGGCAATCTAGACATTCGTTAACTATAATTTTATTTACCAAATGTAAATAAAAGGGAGAAGAGGTGTTCAAAACCATATTGGAGTCATGAAGTTGGGGGTTATTATATGTGGATCTTAGTAAAATAAAGATGAAATGGAATAGCTAGTAGAAAAACAGAAGTAGCCTTATCCTTTCCATTATCCATTCCCATAATATTTATTTTGTGTTTCATGTAACCAATATTATCCAAATCTTTTTCTGGATTACCACTATTGAAATGCTAATACTACTGGAATTAATTGATTGATTTCTATTTCTAGGTGGGCCATGCACAGATACAGCTCATGTTTCTTTAACCACAGCAACCAAAAGATCTTGTGATTCAGGTAAATTTTATTTTTAAAAGAATATATATTATGAAAGGATAATGACCATGTCATGAGGCTGTTCAGCTGGCCTAGAGAAAGATCTCATTCGTGAAACCCTTGTTTCTTCTATTGCAAGCCATCACATCTCATTTTATCTGTGTTTTATCATTTACTATTTAAAGTGAAAGGGGGGGAGGCAAAGTCAGCAAGAACTAATCCTGTAAATATTCCTATAGAAGCACCAATCAAATTCAACCAGCCCTCATTCTTCCATCTGGAGGGAAAAAAATAAAATACGGGATTTATCAAAGCACTAACACTATGAGTTGCTCTGCAACTTCCATAATCAAAAGGATACAAGTGCCGTTTGCTTATTTGTCTGATATCCATCTTCTCCAATGAGGTAAATTGCTTACTGGATAAAATGTTCCAGAAGTTACTTCGCATATTAGTCAATAGGAGATGCATCATTGACTTCTGAATTCACTAGACAAGCCATTCTTTGCAAGGTGAGGTAGGAAGCAATGATTTGTAGTGTCCTCCAGGATGGCAAAATAATATGGAATGAAGGATTAACTCCTTCATACCAAATGAACTGCTTTGGCAAGCCTGTAAATTGAAGGTAAAAGTAAAGCTTGAGTTGTATTAAACCTCTTGTCACTACATAGATGTATTCATGTTGTTTTCTTCACAATATGAAAGTGGTTTGCATTCTTTCGGGATGTTTTTTGATTTCCCATTCTTAAAACCTTACAATTTCCCATCCAAGTATTAATTAACCAAGACCATGCCAGCGTAGTTTTGTCAAGACCAAAGGGATACATGATTGCAGCTGCTGTGATAGAAATCTCTATTAAAATAAATGTTAAAAACCAGCAAGTAACCTTCAGTCAACAATCACATAGAATCACGTTCACGACATTTGTTTATGTATAATGTAGAGACATTTTTAAAAAATATAGAATATAAACTATGCTCAGCCTTCAACAAAATATGAAGTCGATTGGGGTTGGGAAGTGATTTTGGGTCAGCCATTCTCTCTCAGCCCAACCCACCTCACAGGGATATTGTGAGGAAAATAAGAGGATAGAAGTATTAGATATGTTCACCACTTGGAGTTATATATAAAAAGATAGTATAAAAATCTAATAATAGCTTAATAGTCTATGTTGATAAGGCAATGTACAGCAACTATTCTAAGGCACTCCATATAATTCATGACAGTATCCCGTGAGGGGGAAAAAAATCCCTAAATGTTTATTTTAAAAGAACTTTAAACCCCATTTCTTTGATAAACTCTGTATCATCCTATAAGTGGTGAAAATGAAAAATCCCTAAATGCAGATTTGTGAAACATCTGTATTAATGTCAAAATGTCTGTACTAATTTCAAAATAGTAAATTTAGTATATTCTTTTCAAATGCATAAGAATCTTTAGTATTCTAAGGCATTTCAAGGAAATATTGTGTTGACATTGAAACTCAATACAGATTCCCTGGGATTTTCTAGTTTTTAAGTAGTGCTGGAACTTAAACTGTTTATTTGGGGTCATAGGGGAAGGTGGTACAATCACTACACAAAAATAAAATCAATATGTCATATTTTTATTTCATTTGGGATTCATGAGATTGAATTGCTTTAAATCCATAAGGATTATGGCAATATATAAAGAAGGTATATAGAGCCAGTTTAGTCTGGAATTAAGGCACAGACTAGTAAAGAGGAGACCCTGAGTTCAAGCTCTGCCTTAACCATGAAAGCCAACGGGGTGACCCTGGGCCAGTCATACTCTCTCAGCCCATCTCACCCTCATAGGGCTGCTAGAAAAATAGGAAGAGGAAGGTCCATTGGATATGTTTGCTGCCTTGAGTTATTTGTAAAAATAATAAAGGCAGGATATAAATGAATAAATAAACAGCTCTTCCAAACTAAGTACAAATAATGGTAACTTACATCAACCATCATGATGTGGCAAAAAACAATGATTTTCCCTTGGTGTTAATATAGGTATCATAAGACCAGCTGCGGGAAGCAGGCATAGAAAGTGGTGGAGTGCATGTGGCAGTTTAAGCAGAAGCAAAGGATGGCAAGGTGGCAGAGCCTCATTTTCTGAAAGGAGCTTGCAAGGCTCAGCTGGGAAGGAGGCAGTGGGACAAAGCTAGTGTTTGTATAGAGCAGGAGAAGCGTGAGGTCCTCACCTACAGGATGGTCTTCACCTAACGACCACAACTAGGACTGCCTGAGCCACTGTCATTAAGCAGTGTGGTCATGTGGCATTTCACCTAATGACCACTTCACTTAGCAATGGAAATTCCAATTTCCAGTTAACCCATTTATGATTGTTAGCAAGGACTACCTATAGAAAACGCAGAAATTATAATTCCGTAATAATTATCCTTTATTAAGTATAGGTAGTCCTCGACTTGCGACCACAATTGAGCCGAGAATTTATGTTGCTAAGTGAGAAATTTGTTAAGTGAGTTTTGCCTCATTTTACATCTTTTTTTGCCACAGTTGTTAAGCCAGTGGTTCTCAACCTGCGGGTCGGGACCCCATTTGGGGTCGATCGACCATTTCACGGGGGTCACCAAGCAAGGCTGTCCGCCATTTTTTTTGTCCGCCATTTTTTCCCCCTTTTCCGGCGGATGCCTTACCTCCCTTGGGCTGGGCCAGCTGGTGGTCGGCCTGCTCCGTCTCTGCCGCTTGCCAGCTACGCCTCGGCCGGCGCAGGGGGCGGAACCACGCATGCACGGCGCTCCTGGGCAGGGAAAGTCCTCAACTTACAATCGGTTGGGTAGTCCTTGACGTACGACCGGTTTAGTCCTCGACTTACGACCGGTTTAGTCCTCGACTTACGACCGGTTTAGTCCTCGACTTACGACCAGTTGGGGTCGCGGCATTAAAAAGGTTGAGAACCACTGTGTTAAGCGAATCGCTACAGTTGTTAAATTAGTAACCTGGTTGTTAAGTGAATCTGGCTTCCCCATTGACTTTGCTTGTCAGAAGATTGCAAAAGATGATCACATGACCCCCCCCGGGACACTGCAACCGTCTTAAATACGAATCAGTTATCAAGCATGCAAATGTAAATCATGTGACCATGGGGATGCTGCAGTGGTCATAAGTGTGAAAAATGGTCATAAGTATTTTTTCCCAGTGCCGCTGTAATTTCGAATGGTCACTAAATGAACCATTGTAAGTTGAGAACTACCTGTAGTATTTATCTAGATTGTGGGCAGAAGCAGTAATAGAACCTTTAACACTTCTGAAGCTGATCTTTTGCTTTGAAGTTGTGGGAACTAAATATAAATATCAAATTCATCGATTAGTTTATTGAAATTAACCGTATGCTTAAACTTTTCCTGTTCCCATTTTATTATACAAAACCAATAAGAGCAAACAGTTCTGATCATATTATTATTTAGATAGTCTATTGCTCTGCAATAGTAAAATTCTTGCTTTTATTTAAAAACACAAGTTAACTTCAAAAAGAAAGAAAGAAAAACAACCAAGTCTTGTTTAGTTGATCTTTAAGGTGCTGTTTAAGTAACTTTTTAGTATTTGACTGATGGAGGGCACTATGTTACAAATCCAGCTATCCCTGTGTCTTCACTATTAGACATGGAGTAATAGTACAATAATGTAATGTACATCATCAGTCCTGTCAGTGACAGTATCCATTAATGACACATTTTTTTCTTCCTCTGCTCAGTTCTCAGTTATACTAATGGAATGGCACATGAAGCAAAGCTGTAAATAAAAGTTATTACCTAATAGGTAGGCACTGAAGTGGAACGTACAGGAGCTGAGGCATAGAAACCTTATTACTGCTCATCAGCAATTATAAACAGGATAAAGTGTTTGGGACTTACACTGACACAGCAAAGACTATTTGATGCTAGGACATGATAATGGATCAGGATAGCATGATGGATGTTGATGAAATGTTCCATCTTGCTGGCTGTTTCCAATATTAGTTGCGCTTCTCTTTATTATTTTCATATATTGGGGGGGGGGGCGACAGAACAACTAGATTTTACCCAAAAGATGGAAAGTTGGCTTATACATTGGATTAGATCACAGGAGTTGTATCCTCTTTATAGATAGAATATGTTATGTGCACAGATCTGGACTCACATGATGGGTTTTTTCTTAATTGCCTTTCTCTTCACCCTCTACGTTTCTCTAACATCTGCTTAAAAGGTTATTTCAGTTCACCCTAACAGATATTGAGGATGTGTGCAATCATCTCTCACGTGCCCTTTCTGCTAACTGTAGACGTTTTGCTGACAGGTGAAGTTAATTGGATAATACTCTGTATACAGGTATCACCCAGGACTCTAGCTAAGGATTATGGAAGGATTATACATATAGATATAGCAAGATTAGACAAGTCTTTTTAAAGAGAGGATTGTGTGTAATTTGAGCTTAGAAATAGAGCACATTTTAGGAAGTTAAGGGATTTAATGGCTGCCCAATTTCAAAAAGAGTATTTACAGTATTACAGCTTACAGTATTTTTAAAAAGTACATAATTTAGAAGAAACGTGACCACCCACACAAAACTACATAGATAACAGAATGAACAATACTTGTATTTTTGAATGTTCACAATGATTAATATGGAATCAAATTGTTCTGTAAATAAAATAAAAATAAAAAGGGAGGAAAGCTACAGAAGCCAGAGTTGGGCAGTAGTAAACTAGGACTAGACAAACTGTCACAATATAATGAACAAATGTTTATGTTTTCCAAGGTGTTAAGAGGTGAAAAAATGTGAGAAAAAAAGAAAAAAGAATTAGACAGAAGTATCAAAATAAGCTAGATGTACAGCCCTATGATTTACAATTAATCTCACTCCCAAGGTAAAGATTGCAGTGTAACTGAATGTCTGCTAGGAGGTTTGGATACAGAGGAAAACTGAAAATAGTATTACCTTTGTGCTAGCAAACATGAATTATTTTGGGATGTTGTAGTGAAATAGTATGAATGCTTCAGGGAAATAGATTGATAGGTATAAATGGGATCCCCCCCTTTTCCTCTGCTTTTGCTTTTTAGGATTGTCCCTTAAACATAATTTATTTATTTCTAGAAAAAGAAAATGCTTCTGGAAGCTTGCAATTTCCTTTTTAGCAAACCATCCATTACCCTAAATGAAAAAACGTGTAACGGTTAGGTCATTGGACATGATTGTTGGTAATAGGGTAAATTCTGAGGATATAGTGCCACATGTGGGCATTGTATGTGAAACTCTAGCAGTTAAGTGAATTTTATGGGAAATTATGTGGGCTGTAAATCCAAGCTATGTGTTTTTATATCAATTGCCATAATTTTTATGTCCATTACATTTAGATTTTGATCTATATGTTAATTTTGATAATTAATGTTATATGATGCATGTTGTACTGTAAGCCTCAAAGTCAGAAGACTGAAGTGGCATGATAGCACTTATGATGATAGATAGACAGATAGATGGCACTGGCATATAATTAAATTTTAGCCAGGATTAGGCTAATATTAGCATCTCCAAGTATGAAAATGAAATTCAGTCACATTGCCGGTTTAATCATAATATCTCAGTAAGTATGCTGCAACAAATACTGGAGCTTTAAAGGTCACATCCTTTGCTTTCCAGTTGTACTAGATTTAAATGTCTTTACTCCATTTTTTCTTTAGATTTTTTTTTATTTTGCATAGTCTTGTTCTGTACATCCAATTTCTTAGTATATCATTTATTCAGCTGTTATTAAGCTCTTTTACTGAGGTATTTTAAGTCAATAGTATTATGTTACATATTCATAATCAGTAACATCACTTTATGAGTATTTATTTTATTTTATTTATTAATTTTTTTGGGCCACCCATCTTACCACAGGGTAACTCTGGGTGGTTTACATTATTAAAAGCTAAAACAATATAAATAAAATACTACAAAAATATAACTATGCAAAGTTACAAAATACTTGGTTAGGAACTAGCTAAAAAATCTATGCAAACTTTTCCTTGTAAAACTACCATACTTTACTGGTGTAGCCTTTCTCATTGCAGAAGTAGTTCAAAATATTATTAACTATAATCTCCTAGCTTATTTAAAATGCAGATTTCTAATTCTTCATAGGAAAAGAACCAGATATATTCATAATAAAGATGAATTGTAAGAGATAATAGGAAATAGTGGAACCTGGAAATACCAGAGATACTAATATAATTTCTCATGCAAAAATTTCAGTTGCTACATAGCCATAGCAGATAATTAGATCATAACTTCTATAAAATTGTCATGGTATGTTTGTAATTATTGACATTTATAAAACAGTTATTTTAAAAAAAAACAATTATCCTAAGAGAATGTTAAAAGGGGGGGGTATCAGAGCCCTCTCCATCTTTCTGTCCACCAGCTGGATAGTTCTCCAAAAACAAAATGGAATGAATCAAAAATGAGGTAAATCCTTCCTGGAGTTGTGGAGAAAATTGTTCAGAAAACATTTCTCAAATATATCTCTATGGGAAACTCTTTTGGGCTGCTGGTTGGCATACTTCTGGCTATTCCTTTCTAGGCCCTTTAACTCCCATGTCTCGTTACATGTCCCAGAGTAAAACATATGTGCTCAACTTGTGCTACTTAGTGCACACACCGATGCAAGCACAGCACGAGGTTAGATATACCTACAGATGCAACAAGTTACTTCATTCAACAGAAGAAAATACAGACTTAGGATAGTTTCCCTAAAAGGTCAGTTCTGTGACCTTAATTAGCCAGCTCACAGCTGCTGCCTGTGGTGACAAGACTTTAATCCTTTTCATACCTAAAATGTGCGTTTCCTAGATAGTTTGGGGGCTTCTAGACAGCTTGTGCTAGCACATTCCTCTTCATGTGTATTCCCCATTGTGTGCCTGCTTACTCTCTTATATTTTATTGTATTATAACAGTAAATAATGTAATATATTGTAAATACTATTATGGGATTATATAACTCAGGTGTCCCCAACCCTGGACCGTGGACTGGTACCGGGCTGCGGCATACCAGCAACTGGGCTGCACAAACAAGCAAAGCCCCATCTGCGGGATGCAGGCAGCACACAAAACCACACCCCCTCCAGTCCACGGAAAACCCCCTCTCCACGTAACCAGTCCTTGGTGCCCAAAAGGTTGGGGACCTTTGTTATAACTAATACAAACTTAATTCTCTTCTTGTTCTTTATCGCTTCATTGGGATGAACATTCCAAGGGGGGGGGAAACAAAGCTGAAATAAAATTGTAAGCACATTCATGGTCATGTGATTTTTCATTTAGCAACTATATCGCTTAGCAATTGAGTTGCAGGTCCCAATTGTGATTGTAAAACAAAAGAGTACCTTCGTGCTTTTTTTTACTGTGTCCTATTATTCTAGGACTGCCAATACATCAAACTGTAGCTACTTTTTGCTTCTGAATTCTAGCTTCTTTAATTACCATTAATATTTTTCTTCTGCAGTCTATACTTTCTACAGAAAATTCACAATAGTTTTATTTTTGATGACTAAAATTCCTTTTTTTAGAAATAGCTACTACCCTTACTGATGTTTACACAGTCAGTTGGGATCAGAAATGTCAATCTCTCAGGCTATATGTCTTTTATAATAAAAATTATCCTGTGATATGCCTCAAATGCTGTCATGTCAGAGATTAAACTTAACAGCAAAATTTTCCTGGGAACGAACAAGTATAAGGATTTTTTCCTTCCCCAATAATGGGTTGATTTTTTGTTTTGTTTTGTTTTTGTCCTCTTTATTTACATATTCTTTTGTTTGTATTCTACTAGTTTTCCTGAGAAGAACAATTCTGAATATTTCCTCCTTTTCAAGCATCTATAAATAGAAGAGCCTGCATTCCTAATTTATATAAATCCTTGTTTCTATCTCCATACCTTACTAGGCATCTTTTTTTATTCATTTATTTTTAAATTTTATGCTTTGCTCTTTATCTTTAGATTGCATATGGGTATACTATACCAACAATCAAGCAAATAAATCAGTAAAGCTGTATAATCAAAGTTTACCAAGACATTCTAAAAGGCATAAAAGAAGACAAAAAATGCAAACTGGTATAGTGTCAGTCAGAAGGTTGAAGACAGTTGACCAGTCAGAAGAACATGTAAAGTTTTCTCAATTGATATTCCTAAATGAAAAAAATATATATTTTAAAAGTTTTCAAGATTCCATCACCAACATAACTTGTATGCATCTCTTCCCAAGGAGATTTTTCTTGCAATCTTGCACTTTTGCATTTTCCCCAATCCAATGACATATCTCTCCCACAGAATTTGGGGTTATTTGGAGGAACTGGACCAAATCTATTGAGATTGAGGAAAATACATATCAACAGAGTGAGAAGGGAGGTTTTTTTAAAAAAATATATTGACTGCCCAACTCCAGTGGCCTTAAGAGAAAACAAAACGGTGGAATTTTTAATGCTTTTTATTATGCACAATGACATTTTTCATACCAAGCATTTGCAGCAGTATATATAACAGAGATTTGATTTGATCTCATTTGATTGGGTTGGATTGGATTTGAGTAGCCTCCCACCTCAACCCTGGCAACTTCCATCATAAAACTGATGTTCATGTGGTATCAGTTTTCCTCTTAGGTCTGCCTCCCAAAGATTATCTCCCTCTACCTCTCCTACTTCGTCCCCCTTTCTTTCTGTCTCCCTCCTCCATTTCTGGGCTTGACAAGAGTGAGAAGAAAATTTACTATGCTCATCATGGCTTGGCCTTGTCTTGCTCAGCTGACCACCTACTGCTTCTCCATTGGGAGAAGAATTTCTTTGAGGGTCTTCTACCCATTGCTTCCTGCAAAACCAGAGTTTCTCCATGAACAACTGTTCCCCTCCTTCCCCTCTGGGGTTTTGGATGAGTTTTCGAAAAACTCAAAAATTAGAATTATTTTATATCTGGTGCTCTCCAGATAGAAATGTACCAAGGCATTGGATAACAATAGAGGCATTTTTTCTTGAAGCAGTGATATCATAAAAATGTATGTATGTATGTGTATTTTTGTATTTTTATGTTTTGTCTAATTATAAAACCTCTCTGAAATTTTTTTTAAAAACCTGGAGCCAGAAGAAAAAAAAGGTTTCTTATCATCCTCAACTTCCCCCAAACTACAGGTCTTCCCTTGCATTTTAAAAAAAAGTGAAATAAAATGAAAGGGCCATATTATAGGAAATATATGACTAAATGTTGCAGTTCTGACTTGAAACAGCCATCAGTAAAATGAAATAACAACAGTAAAATGAAATGTATTTGTATTTATGTATAAATAGAAATTTGTGAACCATGAATGGAACCTAGTTACAATCTTTTAATTTTTTTGTTGTATGGCTCTTGAAGAAGTTGGATGGATGGATTTCTTTTAAAACAAAAAAGAGTGGTGAAATGGAATCTCTTGCGACATGAAAAAGCATGTAATTCCTAGGACTCATTAGAGTCTATTATTTTCTCTGATTAAACCCAGTTTTATGTAATAAACAATGTATACCATATACCTGCAAAAATTATTTACCCAAAAATTGCAAACAAGCTCCTGTAAATATTTAATGTTTAGGTTCTTAGTTGGAATTAGAAAAATAATGTTATTTATAGTTCACTCAGTATTTGTTGCTACAAAGATAGAGAAATAAAACTTTTTAATATTTGTTACCTAACATTAGATAAATGCAACATTGGTTTGCATGGGGACAGTGGAAATGAGATTGTATGTGAGAATCTATAAACAAAGGCTGTAGTTGTTAGATTAATGCATTTCTCTATGTGTCATAATCAAGTCAGTGGCTAATTGGTTTTGCATTTGGTTTCTGAACTTAGGAAACACAAAGTTTTCTGTTTTCTACTTTTATGTTTCAAAAAGTGCATGCAAACCCAAGTAGAATGGAGCATTTGTATTTTTCAAGTTGTACACAATTAATGACAGCTATGGCTGAAGTAGAACTCCCACTAATGCTGCATTACAAATGTTTCCCCAAACTAACAGAGTCACAGGTGGAGAGTGAGCCTTCTCCGGAGAAGCGGCCACGGTTACTTGAGGACGGTCACGATAGATCTGAAGAAATTAGCCGTTCAAAACAGAAGAGCAGGCGCAGGTGTTTCCAGTGCCAAACAAAATTGGAGCTGGTACAGCAAGAGCTGGGATCATGTCGCTGTGGTAAGGACTGACAGACAGATTTGAATTAATTTTTCTTTTAATGTCCCACCCGGTGAGGAATAATCTGAGCTACATTGTAGTGGTAAAGAAATAATAGCAAAATCTTGCAATAACTTTAGTAGATTAAATCTGACAAGGTCAATCTTATTACTGTAATAATATTTGGTATTTAAAGAGGGAGATTATAGATTTATTTTACGAATAGAGTAGCTATTTAGATTTAGCAAACTATTAAAGTGTCTTATTTTGAGTGACAGTTCTGAGTATCCTCTTCTGTCATAGATATAGCAATCATATCAAGCTGCCTTTTTTCAAAGGCTATTCTACATCATTGTTGTTCTGATAACATCTTCCAGGGGTTCCAGACTGACATTTTTCAGCCATTCTAGATATTAGATCTGGAATTTTGTGAATACAAAGCATGTATTATTTCCCTGAGCTAAAATCTCTTCCATAAGCCTTTTGTACAGTAGTTTTAAAAATCTTATGTCCAACCCAGAGGGTCATCATACATATAAAAGTTCCACTGCATCAATCTGAGCCTCCATCTAAAGATTTCTTATAATTACTTATCCATGAAGAGTATAAATCACAGAATCTCTGTGAAGTACTCCATGGCATCATGCCTCTTCATTGAAATGGGGATGATCAAGTACAGTGAATTATCATGAAAAGAAACTAGGGATAACTCATACCATCGGAATATTATATTAAACTTCCTTCATAGCAATTTGTATTGCATATTTTATTTTTTCAATATTTATTCATCTCGCATCTGTAACTTGTTATACTCTATCATAGAACTAAAACCAAACACCGTTATTTATTCATGAAACATAATATCTATTAGTAGAGCTACTCTGTATGATCAAGATTCAGAATGACCAGACTATGCTATAGCTGAGAAAGTGTCACATGTATCTACATACCTGAAAGGGATAAATAAGCTGTTGACTACATACTTGCTTGACATTTACTATTCACAGGACTCTGTTTAAAATGTTTTTCTTGGATCTCCTTGGTAAAATACAAACTAGAACAGTTAAAAACTGCTTAAATGTGACTATCTGAGATATTTATTGTTGTATTAGTGCATTTGTCAGAGTTTGATTAAGGACACTTGCTGACACTGAAGCATTCTAGACATAAAATTTGTCTTAATAAAAGAAAGGTGACTATAGTTGTGCTTGAAAATATTCCAAGTCTGATAGCTTAATTAACAGTGCCCTTAACTTTTGAATTAACCCAATTAAGTTAAAAAATAATGCTCATTTGCTTGATTGAATCCAATTGCCCAGCAAAGCTGCATTGGAGAGGGGAGGAGCCAGCAGAATTCTCTGGCTGCTTTTTTCTGGGGCTGTCTCCAGAGACTACAACCGGCACTAGGTTGGTTGAAAGATTTTTCTCAAATGGTATAATGTTATAGAAGATGGTGTGTGTGTGTAATGTAGGAGAAAGAGAACTTCAGGGGAGGGTCAGCTGGAAAGAAAAAAGGAGGCATCCCTTTTTCAGAGAAGCATTTGTGATCTCTACCTTTTTCCACGTATTCCTCCATAAAGGAGCCATTTGCTAGGTATTTTTTTAAAAAATGTAAAGCCCACTTCTCCAATTTAATTATTAAAGATCTTAGTATCCAAATATTTTCACATCTGATCTTTTTTGTTAGGGGGACGTCCTCAGCTGTGCAGTATCATGCTTCAATGGGGCTGTTGTAATAGCGGTTGGATATATTTCTGTTGTGTTTAATATTTATGTTTGATAATAAAGCTGGTATCTGTCTTGAATACATATGAGGAAATGTATCTACCTCCTACAACTTTATTGTATTTAATGTATTCATTCTTTAAAAAGATAAATTCCTTAAGGGGGTGATTGCCATTTCTGTCTAAGCTTGTTGTTGCATTTAGAGATAATACTAGAAAATGCTAGTTATGTCAGGTCTACTGAAAAATGACTAATTTTAATCCTATAAATATTTTAAAATCTGCATACTGCTACATAAGGATTTGGAGGCAAAAGTCCCATTCATAATAATTGGTATATAGAGAGTTAATAATTTTAAAGAAGATGTTTAATATTAAGATCAACAAATTAGCAAATATGTTTAATATATTAAAATATATTAATACAAATGTATGTCAGTGTTGAAAGTCCAGCCATATAGTTAAAATAAATCAAATACAGGCATTGCTGTTTTTTCTGTTTGAAATGCTACTCACCTGCTTTAGAATACATTTTCTTTATCTCTTGCAGTACACAAGTTCTTTTACAGTAGCTATGAGAGATAACATGAGTTTATCCATGTGAATAGTGCAAATCTCAGTATAAATGGAGACTGAATTTTGTTTCTAATTAATTTTGAACTACAGCTCTATCATACCCAGTAACTCTAGAAACATTTATACTATTCTAAAATGTACGTTTTATCACTGTTTTTCCTTTTTAAGGCTATTAGCATTTGTTTTCCCAATTTGTAAAAAAAAACATATTTTTGACTCTAGTAATGCTTGTCACATTCACCTAAAAAGGGTAATTTTATTTGTTTGTTTGTTTATTTTGTCCCTTTGAGTCAGTTTTTGTTTCCTGGCGAGTGCCTGAACAAATCAACAAATTTTCTTGGAAAGGTTTTCAGAAGAGGTTTGCCTTTACCTTCTTAAGCCAGCAGTTGGCTCAAGCTCACCCAGTTGGCTCTGTGCTTAAGACGGGGACTAGAACTCATGGTCTTCTGGTGTCTAACCTGATGTCTTAACTGAAAATCTTTAAACACCTCAGTTATTTCATAATAAAGTATCTTGGTTCTGTTTTTATAATGTTTGCATTTTTTACAGTAAAAACAATAGCATTTGTGCACATGTACTCCTTTTCCTTTAGGTTTTATTTCAGTTTTAGTACTACAGATTTCATTTAAGAAATCTCTCTCTCTCTCTCTCTCTCTCTCTCTCTCTCTCTCTCTCTCTCTCTCTCTCTCTGTGTGTGTGTGTGTGTGTGTGTGTGTGTGTGTGTGTGTGTGTGTGTGCCATCTATCATATGGCTTGGATGCTCAAAACACTGTAAGCCAAATGTTTATATTTAAAACAGTAATATTTTTATAGAAGTGCAGTTTTTGTGAATAATTTTAGTATTAACTCTTAGGCCAGCACATATTATCTCTGGTCCGTTAGCTGCATTGGTTGCCAGTTTACCTTGAACCAATTCAAGGTACTGATTCTAATCTTTAAAGTCCTTCATGGCATGGGACCACATTATTTGAGGGACTGCCTCTCCCCAATTTTATCAGCCAGACCCTTTATATCTGACAGAGGACATATTCCAGATACCATTTGCCGGGGGCCTACTTGTCTGCCCTGGTGCCTACCTTAACATTCTCCTCCCCCCTCTCCCCAATTAGGTCAGCTCCATCTATTTTGATGTTCTAAAAGACCCTCAGGACTTGGTTATGCTATCAGGCCTGGAGGTCCCAGGAAAAAAGGAGATTTTTTTAGATGGCTCCACTATTGAGGTGAATGTTCTCTCTCTCTCTTAATCTCCATTTTTAACTATGGTTTTTATATTTTTATATACCTGTTACGTTATTTTTATTGATAATTATACACTGCCCAGAGTCACTTCTCATGAGATAGGCAGCTGTATATTTTTTATTAATAAATAAATAACCACAGATTTTAGAGTCCACTGTGTACTTCACTCATCCATTCATCATATGTTGTGTCTCAGGTGTCAAAGGTAATCTGAATTTATGGAGCTTACCCATACTATTATATGAAAATGTGGATTTCTGCTACTATGCCCCAAACTCAGAGAATTGTGGACAAATTGGATGTTGGCACTGACTTTACAGATACTGTAACTGATAATGAGAACTGCTGTACTTTGTATTTACTTGCATTTTTTTATAATTTGTGCAAGATTTGTGCCAAACAACAACCATACGTGAGGTAAAATCTGGAGGATGTTATTGGTTTGTAACATAATTGCAATCCAAACAACTATGTAGCCTATACATGATTAAGAGATCATATTTATTCATCTTCAAATATTTGAAGATAAGCAATTTCATTTTTATGTTCTAAAGATTAAAATCTGAAACAACTCATCGAATTACAGAAATGAGTTTCAGTAAATGCTAGGAGCAATCAATATATTATTTTCTCTATAATTTTAGGACTGCTTTTTCCACATATCCAGTTTTACTCTATGGAAACTCTAATATTTACCTTTTTATAGTTTATAATTATATTGAATATATTTAAAAAATCCCATGATCCAAAAGGGTCTCTTGCAGACATGAAGCATTTGGGGTCATGTCTGACCTAGCCAAATGCCTTCTTCTGAATTCTTCTAACGCTGAAATTAATCCAAATTCCCCCTTTGTCACCAGGCAGTAATTTGTAGGACAGGGGGCAGGGCAGGAAAGAATCAAAGTTTAAATCATCCTCTTCTGCCACTAGTCAAGGATGCTTCAGAATTATTCATATACTGTTCTTTGCTGAGAATATCTGAAGCATGAAATTTTAGTTAAATTATTGCTGCTATTTTAAATTCAGCAGTGGTAATAATGGTGCAGGATTATTGTTTCTCCTTCAAAACAATTTTCATTGTTATGAAGTATTTAAGATATCTGAATATCAGCATTTTTATTCTATTACATTATGAGCATTTAAGAGGATTGTAGGACTTGGAAAGAGGGTACTCCAAATATTTTACTAAAGAGTCAGCACCAAGATCCTTAAAATACAAATTCAGAGTGTCTTTCTTCAAGAAAGAATTCCTTGTGTATACTGACATTTTTCTACTGTTCAGTATGGGTTATTAACTGCTGACAAAAAATTCACATCTCATAAATAATTCTTAAGAGCCATTGCTGTATAAATTGAATGTGTTATGAATTGCGATGGTTCTTTTTGTACTGTGCTGTGCCTAGAGCAGAAAGAACAGAGTATGTCATTTCCATTAATTTCTAATGAGGTGCCAATTAAAGGAAAGAAAGAACCTCAGAAGAA